TAAATAATTCTTCATTTTGTTTTTTATTTGCTAAACTTAAGTTGAATGAGAAGCGTCATACGACAAGTGAATAATATCGTTCTTTTATTCAACAAGTTTTTTTTTTAACAGTAAACCACAATAGCAACCTAACCTCGTACTGATCCTCCCAACCCACAACCGATCGATCTCGGTAACGGAACCACATGGAATGAAGAGGCGGCAATAGACAATCATGAGTCAAATCTAAATGAATGTAGTGTTCTACGGTACCAAGATGGCACATGACAATCTCACGACATGGTCCTCTAGCCGATGATCGTGCAATGAGAGGCAACACTGTGATGCTGAATAAGTCGTGCTGCCCACCTTGCGGACCAGAGCCCAACAGAACGACAACCGCATTAAATAGGGTCGCAACGGCGTAGAGGTCCTGCGGAACTTCGAACTAGTGAGCCCGTCCACAAGGGCCGTCGGCACACCTTACGCGACGGAGTCCGGTGTCGATATCTCTAAAATAGATGTACTCGTACAATTCACGGTGGCTGTCGACCTCCTTCGCAATGCTTTCTCTTGCATCTACCCAGTACTTCTGGTGACCATACACGTGACTCGCGATGACCCGAAATCCGCAGTTACCATCCGCATCCACATTCAGGTAACTCACTATATAGTCCAACATATGCCAGGGGATATTTTGTCACATTGAAAATCCAAATATATTTGTCGATCTAAACTCTGTAATAAATATCATAATAATTTCACGTCACAATTTATATAATCATATAAATACTTTAATTAACGCTCAGCCATATTTTTTAAAAAAAAAATGTATAACCTGCTTCCCCTTGTGACTGTTGAGAAGACGAACTTGTCTGTCCACGCGAAGAAGTGGTCGTACGGCTCGATTTCCGACCTCGCGATCTATCGTTGTACACAAAAGCAGATAGTTTACGCTTAGTTGAATTAGTTTTGTTGGGACGACCTCGCGGGTTATCCTTAACCCCAGGTTCCGCATAATCCTGTTGGTCTGGGTAAAGATGACTGTACATGAACTGATTCACGTACAGCATCGTCGCGGGATCGCGGGTTTCAACCTCACTCACAAGCGTCTGAAAGAACTCCGCATCTGACCATGCAGCCTGGCTCGCCTGGCTCTGATGACCAGTCCCTACAAGTATACGATAAAAAAGTCAATGAATTAAACCAAATAATGTATTTTAATAGAAAATTATAAATAAAACATTAACCTTAAATTACCTGGCTCTAATATCTGTAGCGTTCTCCAGAACTGGTGAATTATTCCGAGATCAATCGGAATTTTGAAATCAACTGCGTTACGGAGCAGACAGGCACAAGGAAGTCCATGAGTGAGCTGCAATACACAGCCGCAGCTAGTGTAAACATCAGCGTCAAAGTCGTGCATCCCGTAAGCTCAGCGTCCAATAAACTTAGACAGTAATGCGAGACCCTCAGTATCACGCTCGCGAAAATGATTCCCTTATACCGTGTATTCTTCTTAGATCTCGAGGCCTCAAGTGCCTTCCTGATAATACGTTACATAACGTTAGATTATAATTAGTTAATGCAGTAATATAATAACGCATTTAAAAATTGCAGTACATACTTGATTTCAGTAACTTGATTATCGATTAGCTTATTAATCTTAGCCAAATTGTATCGAGCGCACCGGTGGACGTCTGAAGCCACTCCTTCAACACAGAGTGGGCACTCTCCACCCTACAGGAAGTTGTATTTCCAAAATGTGTCACTCGGTTGGTCCAAGCCTTCACAAACTTCTCGCAGTGCCCTAACCATGTGCCCTCCACATACCGTATCACTTCTGGAGACTTCGAATATTTTGCATACAGCTCGGCAACGGCATCGGTGTAAGCATCGAACGTACTGGCCTCTGCAATCGCCTTCCACGTACTGTGCCTGAAAATCTCCGAGAATTTTTTTACTCTTCCCAAATAGTTTGTAGGCTTTGTCTTCTACATCCTTGTTGATGTGCCACGTGCAGAGTAAGTGGGCTGATTCAGGAAAATGCCTCTGAATAGGAGTGAGTAAACCCAACTCTCTGTCACTGACAACAACATAAGGATATACGTCTTGGCCTATCAGTAGTCTCAACTTCTCTAGAACCCAGTCGTAACTGGCCTCTTTCTTGTCCCTGATGAGCGCATACGCAATTAGGAAGTTCTTGTTGCACAGTGTCATCCCAATCATCTCGACCAACGGCATCTTGTACCTGTGCAAATGAGACCAAGAAGACAAAAAATATAATCAAATAAAAGTTTACTTAATCAAACACACTATTTAAGATTCGTACTAATAAAGTCTTTATAGTAACATACCTGTTGGTTTTATACGTGGAATCTATGCCGACATACCAGTGATATGTCCGGAATAGATTGATCGATGCAGGATGGGCCATGAATATATGCGTCATCGCTTTCGTGTTCGGATCGGATTCTGCATAAACTGTATACTCGCTGCTCACAGCCAAATGCATAAGCTGGAAAGGAACGTCTCTACCGTCGAAACTCTCTTTCTGCAGCTTATCTCTAAAGTTATATACCTGTCACCGATTAGCGTTAATTATAATGATTATTATAATTTAAAAAAATATTATGTTAATAAATAAAAAAGTATATTAATGCGATTAATTTGATAAAAAAAATTTAACTATCACAATAATAATACATTAACCGGACGGACCGGTTCCGACCGGCCGTCGTTTTCGGACGGCTGTTAAGCCGTCCGACCGGCCGAACTAACCGGACGGCTTTTAATCCGTCCGGACCGGCCGGCCGAACGGCTTAAAATCCGTCCAGTTCCGGCGGCCGAACACAAAATTTTTTGTACCTCGGAATTTGACGACATTTCACCGTACACTTTCCTCAGAGATGTTTAGAAAAAATGAAAAGGGCAAAATCGTCCAAGGGGGGCGGTGAGGAGTAAAATGGGGGGCGGTAAATAGTACCACCCTATTCAAAATTAAGGGTGACCAAAACTCAGGTCGGTTCACGACCCGGCTTGGCCCGCTGGGTCATCAGGCCTCAAATGTTTGGCCCAAAACTAGATTGGATATATCAATATGGCATGAGCTTTATGAAGATACTCCCTTAATAGAGATAGAATCTCCTTATCAACCTATTTTTTATGGTAGATGTGGAAAACAAGGAACGACTGAGTGTTCAACAATGAAGCTAGTTCATAATCAAGGGTGGTAGAAGGAGCAAAGCTTGAGTGGTTGGAGTTTGATGAGGTTCAAGGTGGCCAAAAACAGTTTAATCAGAAGTCTGTAGAGGAAAAAGAAGGTCAACTTCTTGGTGGGGAATAGGGAGTAGGGAGGCATGGAAATGCAACCAGTGCTGCTAATCCTTTGTTAGAAGACAAGCCCGTCTCCAGAAATTTGGAGGCCCCAGACAAGCTTTTCCTTTTCGAATTTTCTGATTTGAACTTGCGTGGTAATTAAGGCTATTTATAGATAGAATCATAGAAGAAAAAAACCTAATTATACAAGACTATTAAATAAATAAATAAAAATAATTTTTCTTGTTTTTCTAAACCTTGGAATTGATAAATTACCTATGGTTACAAAGATCTTTAATAAATTATATTCAAATAGTCATGAGGACAACAAGGAGCAGAAAATAAAAACCATATCACTGCAAATAATATTAATTCTCAAACAATTGTTCTGACCGAACATCATAAGAAAACAAATGAAATATTTAGGGCCTCAAATTCCCACATAAAGTACATATTTTGCCATTAGGTCGTTCATTAATTAGTCCCTTCATTTGTGTAATGGGTCAAGTCCATATTTAGGCATTAGCTCATTCATATGTGTAAATAGGCCAGACCCAACACAAATACACAATATTGAAGGAAAAAAAAAAAAAAAAAAGAAAAAAAAAAAAAAAAAAATTGGGCCCCAAATTATGGAGGCTCTGGGCATGGGCCTAGGCTGCCTCCCCAAAGAGCCGACATTGCTAGAAGATGACAGAATGCATAAAGCAGATGGTGTTCTCGGAGCATGTGGTTCATAGATGGTGCTGCTCTAAGGAAGGTTTGACAAGACTTCCAGTGGAAGCTGCACTACTTTACATTAGGGAGTGGCTGGAGGAAGGAGTCAGGTTGGGATGGAGAATAATGGAAATCTTTATTGCAGATAGGAAACTGCTCAAATGTTGCAGAGTCAGGCTGGTTTCAATGGATGTGCAAGTGCGAGTGCTTATATTTTTAGTTTGTTGGGGTTGTTTGGTAGTTGCTTGTTTCTTGCCTTGTGTATAGTCTAGCTTAAATTTGTGTTTGTGTTTTTTTTTCCCCTAGTGTATGGTTTGTTTTTCTTAGACCGTGTTGGTCTCTTAGTGGTACTCTTGTGGAGTTATCCCTCTTGTTCCCTTGTCAAGACTATGGTGTGATGGGGTTCAGTGCAACTCTTAGTTGTTCATGTTGTACATTCGAGTTTGTTTACTTGAAATTTAATGNATGTAGAAAGAATTGCTAATCATATTAGATGGCACTCTTATTAAAAAGTTGATAAAAGCTAATTGACGTACTAACTGGCAACTTTACCAATGAATCTAGACATGTCAAAACAGGCAGACGAAGCAGGTTGACCAGTAGCCCGCCAAAACCCGCTGTTTGGCAGGGTGGGGCAAGCCTGCGGATCGACGGGCCGGCCTCTGACAGGGCAGCCCGGCCCAACCCCACACGGGCTAAGCAGACCGGCCCGCCGAAAAATAAAAATAAAAAAATCCTGAGAGCTCTCAAAACTAGTTTTTTACAATTATAGAATGTTCAAGCAGCCGTGTTCACGTACTCATATTATTGAAGTACTTTTATTTTTATTTTATGAGAAGAAAATTTAATGGGCATTTAATGATTTCATCTAAGATGAATTTGGATCCATCATGAAGCCATCAAAATACTGCAAACAGAATAATAATAAGAATAATAAATAATAGTGATAATAATAATAAAAATAATAATAATAATGAAAAAAAAATGAATCAAAATAAGAGCTCTGATCCATTATCTACAAACAAGTTCAATGAACTTATGAATATGATCTTCTAAATTCAATAATCAAAATGAAGCCTCTCGCATTTCCAGCCACTTGAAAGCTGAGATTACGAGAAGGGCAAAAAACACTGACAATATTTCTAAACTTGTCAAAATGTAGGTTTCCCAATTAATCAGTGTGTTTATGTACATAAAACTATTTACATGCCCTTTTTCTGCATTGCCTACAAAATGGAGACAATTAGACTTCATGTGAAAAAAGGTATATGGTCTTTGTAAACTTTCCAATCACAACCCACTGGAAATCTTGTCTGTCTTAACATCTTCAATAATATTTGGCCCTTTGGATTTGGCCTGGTCCAGGTTTTACAATTATTTTTTCTTTTGGGTGTCTGGTAGATTGCATCTAGGAATACTTTCATCTCATTGTTTGCATTCCAAGTGAACTATGTCTCATATCCAAGTGAACTGCAAGAGGAAAAAGAAAAAAGAAAAAAACATGTGTTGGTGGCTTATTATGATATCTACTACAGAACTGGCTCTGTGTGAAACATGACTAACAAATATGTCAAAAGAAAAGATGAAAGGATACAAAAAAAACTTTATTATCCCTTATCATTGAGAAACATAACTCAAGAAACGAATACAACTAAAAGCAGGGATTAAGATACATTTGAAACTTAATGTTGACTCAAACAGATGGTTGTCCCGAAGAAAAAGTTATGGTCTTCACGCTATTGTTCTTCAACCCTCCCCAACCACACAGATAAGCTACCAATTAATGCCTAGTTTAATCTTAATTTCTTGATTAATATAAAATAAACGTCGGATTACAAGATTCCAGTGAATCTCACAAGGCAGATGTCACCTTCAAATTCCCTTTGATTTTGAAGGTAGTGGAGTGGCCATGTTAACTCAGAAAATTTTAGTCCAAAGAATTACCAAGCAACATCATGGATAAATACTCAGAGATGGAAATTATTATTATACATAACTTCCTATTCATGGTTAGATTCACCTTCGGGTCATGTAAATGTAATAGATCACGCAAGTAAGCATATGTACATTCTATTCTTAATCCCATGTCTAGACTCCAAAAGGGTCACCAAATTGCAATGACGATAAAAAAATAAAATAAAATAAAAGAAGAGTCCCTCATGACCGATTATCATATTCTACTTTTGCATCAGCCAGTGAAGAAGAGAACGATCATAACAAAAGTAGTCTGCAAGTATCGATTATTCCCTCTCTTGCATAAAAAAATGGACAAAAACTCAAAGGTTAACTTGAATTTAACTACACCTTGTTAATAAAACGATCAATCATCACCCACCACTAACAACTACTCCCTGCTCCCTTGAAAACCAGACCTTACTCCAAGGATTTGACCAAAATCGCACAAAAAAAAACATCCAAGATTCTGTTCTTTGTTCTGTCTTCGTAAGACCAAAAGAATCTAAAGAGGCAAGATTCATGATAGAACAACCCAAATGAGAGTAGTACCTTTTCACTTTGAAAGCACACTGCAAGTGAACCCCTTCTTGACCAACTCCCTCACAGCATCTCTGAGCCGGTAATAATCCTCAGCCACATTATATACTTGATGCGAAATCCTGACATAACCAGTCAAGGAGTTCACCTCATCCTCCATGGCCGCACGATAATAAATCGGCACCTCCACCTTGAAACACTCCCTCAGATGCCTCCTCAGACTTAAAGCATCCGAATCACCTCGAATCCCCAAACAGGACGGCAGACCCACCATTGCCAGGCTAGCGCACATCTCCGGTGGGGCCCCCAGCTCAGTCCCCCACGATGCCGCCAGCATCTCCGCCATCTCCACCACCTTCTCGTGGTTCCTCTTCATAATCCCCTGCAACCCGCCATCAAATCTGTTCACGAACTCCATAACCTCCGGCAGCACGAGCTGGGCGCTGTAGTCCCTGGTCCCGATCCACGCGCTTTCCATGGCCAGCCCGTTGCCGTACTCATGGGACACCACCGGGTGGTGCAGGTCCGAGAACTCGTCGGAGCTTCTGCAGTAGAGGAAGGCAGCGGACGGCGGGCAGAAGAGCCATTTATGGAGATTGCTGGTGTAGAAATCGGCGCCGATGTCCTTGACGTCGATGTCGACGTTGCCGATGGCGTGGGCCCCGTCAATGAAGATCCGGTCGACGCCCTCTTGTCGGCAGATCTGGACGAGCTCCTTCACGGGTATGACGACGCAGGGCATGGAGGTAATGTGGTCGATGACGGCCAGCCGGATCCGCCGGCCGTCGGACTTCCCCAGCCGGAGGGCCTTTTGGAATTCGAGGATGATTTCGGAGCTGGATCTGACTGGGAAGGGGAGATGGGCCTCGATGACGCGGCCGCCGGCGCGTGAGATGTACGCGAGGACGGACTTCTTGACAGCGCCGTAGGCGTAGTGGAGGATGAGGGCGGCGTCTCCAGGGTCGGTGGAGAGGAAGGAGCGGGTGGTGTTCTGGAGAACGATTGCGGCGGCGGTGGTGGCGTTGTCGACGACGGAGACCTCGTCGACGTGGTCGGCGTTGATTAGGGTTTGGACAAGGCGGCGGGTGCGGAGGATAGCGGGCTTCAGGGCATTGAAGTAGTAGTGGTCGGGCTGGCGGAGGAACAGGAGTTGGTGGCGCTGCTGGGCAGCGATGATGGAGGCGGGGCAGCACCCGAAGCTGCCGTTGTTGATGCGGGCCACGGCGGGATCGTGGTGGGCGAATTCGGCGCGGAGATCGAATGAGGTGATGAGCTTGGGTTTGACGGCGGCGTCGCCGCCGTGGGATGGGTCGGTGGCGGTGGACATGGTCTGAAGTTGGGACATTTAGAGTCTAGAGATGTTTGTTTATGGAATTTCTCAAAAAAAAAATTTCTAACATTTTAACTTAACCACTTTTTTTAACTCAACTTTACTACTATCAAAATTATAAATATAATTAAATAATATCAATCAATCATTCATACACACCACATCAACCTTAATTCACAATTCATCCACTCACATTATTTTAACTAACCATCACTTCAAATCTCTCTCTCCTACTTTTACATCAAATCAATTTTAATTATTTTATTATAAATATTATTTTAATATATCCACTAACATCTAACCATACCACCTTTTTCAAAATTAACCAAACCAAACCAAAAACTCCAAACAAAAGCAAAAATTTTTATAAACAAACATGCATTTAGATTCGTTTACAATTTTGACTGACATTTATATACTTTTTTTGATTTGAGTGTTTTTAAGATTTTTTTATTTTTTTATTTTGAACGAGTGAAAATAAAAATTTGGATATGAAATTTGGAGTGAATTTCGTATATGTTTTTTTCTTGAAAAATCTCAACAAATCTTACAAAGTTTTAATAATACTCGAGACTTGTAAAAGTCTTGAGAAGTCTAAATTAAATATACCAGAATTTTTAAGTTTTAAAAAGTCTTTAGAAATCTTGATTGAATACACCCTCTTAATATATAAAAAATATTTTTTAATGCAATTAAGAGTGGACATCGTCTAACTTATGTGGGAATAGTGCTGTAAACGAGCCGAACCGAATCGAGCTTGGGTTGTTCGAGCTTATGTTCGTGTTCGTTCGTTTATTTTTCGAGCAAAAAATTGTGTTCAAGCTCGTGTGTTTAATTGTTTGTCAAAGTTCGAGTTCAGTCATATTCGAATAATTTAATGCATAAACTTTTTAAATATGTTTGATTATCTCAAAATTTGTTCGTTCGAACTCGAAAATAAAAAAAATAAAATAAAATAAAAATTATATTTTAGATTTTTTATTAAAAAATTATGTAAATATATAAAAAATAAAATAAAATTACATTAAATTAACGTCCGCGAACATTATCGAACGCTCGCTAACAAGCTCGTGTTCGTTCGATTATGAAACGAGTCTAATTTTTTGTTCGAACTCGGCTCGATTAACAATCGAACGAGCTTTTGTCGAATACGAACGAGCTCGAACGAGTTTTTATTCATGAACGTTCGATTTGTTTATAGTTGTATGTGGGAAACAAAAAATGAGACTAAGTCCACACTTAAGTTTATTTTTCGGTTCGTTTATAGCTCTATGTGGGAAACAAAAAATGAGACCAAGTCCACTCTGGAGTCTATTTTGAATCCAATCACAAACCTGAACAATCAACACTTATTTCTAATGTAATGTTTATTTTAATAGAGAAAACACAATGAGACCAAGTCCACTCTTGAGTCTATATTGAATCTAAGTACAAACATGAACAGTTAACATTTATTTCTATTTTAATTTTCTTTTAATAGAGAAAACATATTAGAACATTTTTATTGGTTGACATTTCTAGACGTTAGTATTTTATTTTTGAACTGAAAAGCTTTTGTTTTTTTTTGAGTTTGTCCATACTATTTAGGACTTAAATTCATTTATATGTCACACATGTAAAATTAGACTCAATACATTATGGATGGTGAGAAGGATGGTGGGATGTGACAGATGGATGACATGGAAATTTACCACGTTTAGGAATAAATATTAGCTAAAACATTAAGAACGGAAAATAGCAACATTTTATTTTATTAATAAAGTGCACTTGATGAACGATATACATGGTTAATATTGTTTTGTGATTTCAAATAAATTATGGTTTATTATTTTTATTAATCAAGTACATTAAATAAAAAATTATTTCAATACTATTAAAAATTAAAATTTATTTTTTAAATAACCATAATATTCGAAAGTCATGATAAAATTAGTACATGAAAAAAATCCGAGTACAAATCATCATTCTCTAAATTAATCTTGTTTGTTTCATTTGAAATTTTAAAAATATCCACTAATTAATAAAAATCGAGCATAATATGCCTGAAATTGAAAAAATTAGATGAAATGTACACAATAACTAGTTGTATAAAAATTATTAGAAAAGCCCACTAACTCTTTTTTTCTACAATTTCGTTGGTTGGTGAATTTTTTGTATAATCGCAATATTTATTAGGCAAAATTACATTTATAGGAGAAGAAAGAAGAGAGACATACCTCTCTTTCATATCATGGCTTGTGTATGAGTAATCCCGTCAAGAGGTGTCTCTTTTTATAGGAGAATAGACGTGTTGAATTTGGAATGACTTCTGATAATCTTGCTAAGAAACTACAAGTTGGTAAACTTGATCAAGTGTCAATGGAAAGAAAGGCTAGAATCTGATATCAAGAAAAAGGAGAACTGCTAAAAACCAAAAATTGGTTCTCTAACTTGCAGCAAATTTACCGTGTTAAGGTTGGAAAGAAAGAAAATCAGGGAAACATAAAACTTGCAAAACGTGTGCGCAATACGTAAAGTTGGGAAATACTTGTATCATACCAAGAAAAGAGTTCTTTTGGAAAGAAGAAAAAAAAATTACTTGTCGGAAAATAGTTGGTCTCCTCTGTGTTTGGCATAAGCGAAGTCGCAAATGACGGTCAAATTATACTTGGAGTTGTTGGGGGCCCGTAATATATTAAATAACATCTTCTTAAAGGTACATTGTCTGAATTAAATGGATTGGGCTGGGCTCCCAAATCCCATGCTNAAAAAAAAAAAAAAAGTTGAGGTATTTGAGTTGGCTTCTAGAGAATGGAAAAAAATGAAGAGATTTAAAGTTTAGGTTTCTTCAAATGACAGTCCTCTAGCATGCTGATTCGAGCGGGGCATGAGATTGGGCTTGAAATTGGAAGAGTTTTTATATGTTTGGTTAAAACACTAAGGCCAACTTAATTGTCCAACTTGTAGGTTTAAAATATTGGAGACAAGTACATTATTGGGCTAAAAATTTGGAAGCCCAAGATTCTAATCTCATCATTTGTCTCAAGTAGTTTGGATGATTGGGCCTACTGCATTATCAAAGGATGCCGTGACCCATTAACTTCAAGACATATCGTCTGTGAACAAGTCTCGAGGGAGCATTTGTAAATACATAAAATTTGTGACCAATCAATGGCGCCACATGAAAATTAATATATTATAAATCAAGTCATATTTTGTATTTATATTTTATGAATTTTCACATATTTAATTCATAAACTTAACTAGTTAATTAATTGATATTGTGATATTTTAATTCTTGGTCAATCAAACAATGCTAAGTGTCAAATCTTATCTCTTGGTACATAAATCACATGCCTTCTAGAAGATCTTGGAGATCTTATGTGAATCATCATAGACCAATCAAATTGTATCCTACGATTCTTAAGTTTAGTAAGGTTATCCCTCCTACACTTGTAATTAGGGAGTCATGGACTCTCCCTAAAGCCGGAAAAAAAAAACACCACAACACAATTTATAATCAAATTCAAGAGTTCTAGAGATTCTCTCAATTAAAAAGAATTAGTTTATGATATTGACAATTAAAAAATAATTTGTGTATTTGAAATAATATTTCATAGAATGTAAAATATCTATGTATTATATATTAAAAAGATATTCTAAATTTTTATATTAACTCAGTAAAAGTATATAAATATGTTTTATATAATTAATCATAATAGGAACATGCATGAAATGTGATATTTTGTAATTAAGGAAAAGGATTCTTATTCAAAGTTGACATATTTGATAATATATTTGACAATTTCATTCAATTACTTTTAGTTAACTGAATTTTATTTGTTATATGTATACTTATAATTCTACAATAAATTATACTTTTACCTCTTATACTAATCATAGTAATTATAGTTTCACTGTTATAAATATATCAAATATAAAATATATCTTAAGCAATCAACATTCATCTATTTAAGAATAAGCCTTCGCAGTTAATTTTCTTACATGTTATTCATTGTTCTATTATAGAGCAGTTTTTATCATTATCTTTCAGTTTATAAGTTTTGTTACTTTTTCAAAATAGACTCTTTTGATAAAAATATTATTGAAAATAATTGTTCAACTTTACTTTATGAATGACACCTTAATTTTAACTAAACTATGAAGTACATGATTTATAGATTTATTGTATAATAAAATAAAATTTGATATTAGTTAACATTATTATATTTTTTAATCAATTTAGTACAGTGTTCAAATATATTAATTATAACAATTAATTCTAAATATGAATAAAAAAATAAAAATAAAATGATAATATGCTTTTTATATATTAATGTTTTCTATTATGTCCATAAATTTATGTGCAAAATAATTTTTTTTCTTTCTTTTTTTCTTCCTAACCTGTTTTACTTGATACTCATTTTTTCTCCAAAAATGCATTTGAGTAGTTTTATATGCCATGTCATTTGTTCCATGTAAAGTTTACATAATTATGCTATGTCAATTTTATTTATTATGATATGTAGTTATGTAATTAGTAAAATTTAATATATATTTAGAATTGTAATAAATTTATATTGTAATAGTTTATACTTAACATTGTGTGTTTTGAAATTGAGGATAGTTCTTCCCCTACTTTTTTATTTCTTACAAATACTATTGAGGAATATATTATATTAATGCAATTCAATGCTATTGAAATAATTTGCATCTCCTTTATTTAATTTTCAGTTATTGATAAGTTAATATTTTGTTTACCTTTTAAAATCTATTTTGTTTAGGTTCTATTTTAGAAAGATATTTGTTTTTGTTAGAATCCTATTTTATTGATATATATAATTGTGATTATAATTCATTGAGATATTTAACGGTTATTATAGTTTTTTCAATAAAAATAATATAAACATAAAGACTTTTTAGTTCATGCAATTTTTTACAAAATCATTCCTCCTTTAAAATAGTATTGATAGATAGATTATTCTTGTAAGTGAGAGTCGAGATCACCTCTAGGGCTT